TTGGAAGAATTGCAAATGTTACACTAGGGAGAGAAATGAAGAGTTATAGATTCAAGATTCCATTTCTTTTCTCCTAGTAATTATTAAACTTTTAATATTTATTTCTTCTTTTTTCGTTGTTCTTTATTTAATTATATTCTAGAAGATTGATTTGAAATAATTTTTATTTTTTAACATAAAATTTAAAATAATCAATAATTATATCAGTCTGACCTATTCAGATTTAACGGTTAAAAAATAATCTTTTCAGTTAGTTTAATTTTATATGTCTCTCTTATATCGAGAGAATCTTTACAGATAAATTATTTTTATATAGGTTTTCATAGGTTTATTAATCACATCACACACAATTAAATTACCAAGATTAGGAAAACAAAAACTAGATTAAGACAAGTATTAGTGACTGAAACGAGGTTAAGTGGTTTAGAGTCCATCATCCGCTACACGTTAGCTTAACCAGAAACCGCTGATTTTTTCCCTCGTGGCCCCCGCAAACAACTTTGTACGCATCTGGGTGCATGTGTGTGGCTCTTATCCTGGGGTTTCGATGTAGCAAGAACCAAAACCTTTACTGTTGGCTGATATGAGATGTGATGATCAGGTGGGCCAAAATGAACGGCTGTGATTGATCCACCTGTTAGAAGTAAACAAAAGGTTGGCGGTTACACGTGGCATCCCCTGCCTCAATTCACTTTTGAATGCCCTATGCATGTCCTATAGGTTACACTAATCCAACCCCCCTGATTTCTCCTTGTATAAACTCTCTGTTTCTCTGCACTCACCCTGAAAGAAAGAAAGAAAGAAAGAAAGAAAGCAAAGACAAACAGTCTTTCTTCTTCTTGGTTTTTGTTTCTCTCTCTGTTTTTCCTTCACTTTTTCTTTCTCGTCGGTTTCCATGGCTGCCTCTGTTGATCCCCTCGTTGTCGGTAGAGTGATCGGCGATGTGGTTGACATGTTTGTTCCCACTGTTAACATGTCGGTTTATTTTGGCCCCAAGCATGTTACCAACGGCTGCGATGTCAAACCATCCGTGGCCGTCAATCCTCCCAAGATCACCATTTCCGGCCATTCTGATGAGCTCTATACTCTGGTATTTATATATATATATATTTATATACCTACATATGCACATCAATCCTCTCTGTCTTTTTTCCTCTCATCTAACCTTTGCGTCTTTTTAAAATCGGTGCATGCAGGAGCTTTCTTTCTTCAATTACTTTTCTTTTATTTCTGTGTTTATGTAAAATTATTGTCTCTGTTTCTGTGTTACCGATTGGCTCTGCATGGTTTTGGTTTTTAATGTCGACGGGTGTGGCGGATCGTGCAGGTCATGACCGACCCGGACGCACCCAGCCCGAGTGAGCCTAGTATGAGAGAATGGGTCCATTGGTTAGTGGCTAAATTGTAATTTCATATTTATTATTATTATTTTACTTTTTGCGATTTATTTATTTTTTTTCCATTCATAAAAGAAAGTCCGAGTCTAATTTGTTATTTGTTTGATTTCTTTCAGGGTCGTGGTGGACATTCCTGGAGGCACCAACCCGACTCGAGGTAAAAGTATTTTATTTACACTCTGTTTGGATTGAAATGAAAACGTTACATACACACACACACACACGTATTTATATATGTTAAATGTAAAAGAAATATTATATTAGTTAATTTTCAAGAGGTGGGAAGAAAAATATCTGGTCCCACCTTGTTTTTTCTATTATATCTTCTATCCAAACACAGCCTCAGAGCTGAAATTATTCTCTCACTTTCTATCTT